TTACACTAACAGATGACAAATGAAAGAATTAAAAAATGTTAAATTTAGGTGTCAAATTAGTTTTACAAAGGTGTGAAATTAGTTTTACAGAACTGTGTCAATAACTTATTTTGATGGTGAAGGTGATCAGTGTCCCTACTTATTAAATTTCACAATGTTTTTTTCCTCATAAATATCACATAATAACACGTGAAATGCGTAATTGCCGCATACATGAGAAGACAAAATATTTGAATAACACATTGGTACCTAATGAAGCCAACTCAGTTAAAAAAAAATAATTATGAAAGATTTTATATTCACTAGAATGGTTATTGAAGATTATAGAAGAAAATCCTACAATTATCCAAGATTTCAAGTACACTATAATGCTTAACCAATGTCAATTTCAAGTAAAAAAATATCATAATTTACACTAACGGATGACAAATGAAAGAATTAAAAAATGTTAAATTTAGGTGTGAAATTAGTTCTGCAGATGTGTGAAATTAGTTTAGTAGAACTGTGTGAATAGCTTATTTTGATGGTGAAGGTGATCAGTATCCCTACTTATTAAACTTCACAATGTTTTTTTCCTCATAAATATCACATAATAACCTGTGAAATGCGTAATTGCCGCATACATGAGAAGACAATATTTGGATAACACATTGGTACCAAATGAAGCCAACTCAGTTAAAAAAAAACAATTATGTAAGATTTTACATTCACTAGAATGGTTATCGAAGATTATAGAAGAAAATCTTACAATTATCCAAGATTTCAAATACGCTAGAATGTTTAACCAATGTTAATTTCAAGTAGAAAAATATCATAATTTACACTAACAGATGACAAATGAAAGAATTAAAAAATGTTAAATTTAGGTGTGAAATTAGTTTTTCAGAACTGTGTAAATAGCTTATTTTGATGGTGAAGGTGATCAGTGTCCCTACTTATTACACTTCATAATGTTTTTTTCCTCATAAATATCACATAATAACCTGTGAAATATGTAATTGCCGCATACATGAGAAGACAAAATATTTGGATAACACATTGGTACCAAATGAAGCCAACTCAGTTAAAAAAAACAATTATGGAAGATTTTACATTCACTAGAATGGTTATTGAAGATTATAGAAGTAAATCCTACAATTATCCAAGTTTTCAAATATACTGGAGTGCTTAACCAATGTCAATTTCAATTAAAAAAATATCATAATTTACACTAACGGATGACTAATGAAAGAATTAAAAAATGTTAAAATTAGGTGTGAAATTAGTTTTACAGAGGTGTGAAATTAGTTTTGCAGAACTGTGTGAATAACTTAATTTGAAGGTGAAGGTGATCAGTGTCCCTATTTATTAAAATTATGGAAGATTTTACATTTACTAGAATGCTTATTTATGATTATAGAAGAAAATCCTAAAATTATCTAAGATTTCAGATTCACTATAATGCTTAACCAATGTCAATTTCAACTAAAAAATATCATAGTTTACACTAACAGATGACAAATAAAATAATCATAAATTCTTAAGTTTATGTGTGACATAAGTTAGGTCGTACTGTGTGAATAGCTTATTTTGATGATGAAGGTGATCAGAGTTCCTATTTGTTAAACTTCGCAATTTTTTTTTCTCATAAATATCAAATATTAACCTCTGAAATGTCTAATTGCTGCATGCATTTAATACAAATTTTTTTTTATAACACATTCATACCTACGGAAGCCAATTCAGTTCTAAAAATCAATTATGGAAGTTTTTACATTCATTACAATGACAGATCGATGACAAATGAAAGAATCATAAATTTTCTAAATCTACATTATTGCGTTCAAAACAAAAATTTCACTGTAAATGAACAATATATTAAATGCACAATATTAATAAGACTTACCAACAATCAAGCATTAATTAGGTCAATTGTAAATACCACATCAGATCCATTGTAGATTTCTTTCCTGTAGATGAATAGTTGACATTGCATTGAGAAATCAGCACACTACAATCTGGATTTTGATTCAAAAAATATTATAAAAAAGTAAGAATAGAGGAGAGAGGAATTAGGGTTTCCAATAAAAAAGAAATTCAAAAGCAATATGTTTTTTTGATGGAACAAAGAGAGAGGAATAAGGGTTTGGATTAAAATGAAAAAGGAATGAGGGAAATAACAAAAGCAAAAGGGAAGAAGGGGAAAGTGAAACTGCAGAAGGGCGGGGGCGGCAGCTTATTTCAACTTTCCTTTTTTTTTTTTTTTTTTTTTTTTTCTTTTTATTGGCTTTACAGTTGGCACGTTAAGTTACTGTGCCGTTTGTGGACTTCTTTTTCTTGTGCCAAGCCAAACACGGCATTAAGCAACTCACAGCAGGGGACTGTAAGGTAACTCACAGCAGGGGATTCAAGTCCGCAAGAACGCTTGTTTCTACTTTTAATAATTTCGTTTTCGTGACCGAGCCTCCTTGCTTCTTATTGTGTAAGCATATTATAGTATGTTTCAAATTTGTGTTCGAGGCATGTTAATTTCCATTTTCGTGAGAAAGCTTGTTTCTATTTTTTTGTGGAATGGAATTTTTTTTTACCCGTATTGAGTCTTAATGTGAAAAAGCTACTGCTATGTTGCAAAGAAAATAAAATAAAATAAAAGTTTAGTGTTGGAAAAAAATACACTTCTTTTGGTTGGTGCAATATCACGAAAAAGTAAGAAAAATCTAGATTTAATGATGCAAAGACACGTAAACATATGCACATGGCCTCAAATTATACTGTTCAATTTTTAACAGTATGAAATGTGCTGGGATTTGGTGTGATTTACTGCTAAAGACTCCCCTACAGTACACTGTACACACACGTGTACACTCTCATGTGTATATATAATGGAGATAATTTGTGACAAGGACATGATTAGGTATGTACCAATTTTATTGCATAGTTTGCAATTATAATATCGGTTGCGATATTATTCGCAATTATAATATAATGTACTCAAGCATATATAAATATAAATTAATTAAATTGATCAGTTCATAAAAATATAATTTAATTAATCAATTTATAAAAATGTAATAATATGAAATTCTTAAAAAGAGTTACGAATCGGTATATTATAAATCCATCTCAATACTTTCAATGGCCAATTTGTCTTTTCTTGTTTTAAGCAGAAAATAGAGTGGGTCAATCGTTAGGCTTTTCTTTGATGGTCGCCCTAAAATGAATTCGTGCTCCGTATCTCGGTGAAAGCTGTACACATGTAAAAGCTCACAAGTGTAATCACTAACCATAATTATTTATTTTTTATTTTTTTTTCAAAGCAAAAATGTATTGCTGTCTAAAAAAAAATGTCTTGTCTGAATTTTCCAAAAGGAATTTTTTGTTTTTGGCACAAGGGTGTAATCTATTACAGCTTTTGCAGCACCGAATTCTAACTTTTAAAACAAATAGCAATTAAATTCTAACTTTTAAAACAAATAGCAATTGACGTATTAATGTCCCATCCATTCAGTGAAGGAGCAACAAAGTTTGAATTTCTTTTCTTTTGTGTTTATTTTTCAGTTAATTATAGAGCAAAAAAAAAAAAAAAAAAATTTCCTGAAACAAAGAAAAGAGTTTTGATTTGTTCCATGATTCATTAAGCAAATAATTCAAGTATTTTGCCTAAGACTAATTCTCTCCACGCCACCAATGTAACACGATGATAAAATAATATTATTTTATTTTATATTTTATTAAATACAAGGATGAGAAAATTGAGATTTCTTTTATCATCAATTTTTATAGATTTTAAATTTTAAAAATTATGTTCATTGTGTCATACCAGTAGTGCAAGAAAAATTATTTTTCAGGGTTAGAGTGGAGATATTAAGATGTGTTATTTGTTGTGACTTGTGGGGTTTACACAAATTTAATAATTAATTTTTTTTTTTAGTGTTGTAGGATGAATTTTCACTCAAAGAAATATATACAATAATTTTTCAACAAAAACAAGTCAACAAGAACGTGATAACATTGGAATCATCGAAAATGCATCAACACGCTTTCATGACAAATTGTATCATCATTTTAATTATTATTGTCGTATTACATCTTCTGTATGTATAATATATATATACATATTATATAATTATATGCTTATCAGTTAAGCAACTTGTTCTTTTACCTTTTCTTTACCTTTCTAGCTGTACTGCACTAAGCCCGGAAGCTGGTGCTTTTCTTTGATGCATTTTTAATAGGTAATGCCGGGCTTAGTGCAGTACAGATAAAGGTAAAGAAATGCATCAAAGAAAAGCATCACCAGCTGCCGGGCTTAGTGCATTTTTAAAGAAAAGCATCAAAGAAAAGCATCAAATTATCTTATTATTTGTTTTTGTAGACTAATCAAAGATGCTTCTGGGAATTTGAATATTCTAAGGAGTAAGGGGCATTATTAATGGAGATTTTCCTGTGTGGTCTTTTTCAAATTATATATTAAGGAATACTAGAATCCAACATTTTTTATATACTTCACGAGATTACAGATATTTTTTCTACATATATATTTATTTTTTCTTTTCAAAAATTAAATAACTTGATTCGATCCAATGTTTTGCATTACAGTGTCAACAAATATGTAGAATGGGACTAATTCAATTTTGTTGGACGTCCATGCAAACCCTACATTTAGGTTGTCAACAAATTTGAGCCACCGATTTTGTTTGTGATTTTTTACTCAAATTTTATCTGGAAAATTAATATAAATTCGAGTCAGCTTTAGTAAATACCAAAATATTTAATCCACCACATTACATAATTTCTTCCTTACATTATGATATTTTTTTAATTACTTTTTAAATAAGGCTGCCACAATTATAAGTGCTTCTGTACTTTCTCCCCAGAGTTGGTGCCGTGTGTCTAGATATATATATATATATATGTATGTATGTATGTATAATATTATAGTTACTGAAATACCCTTCCTCATGTCCTCAACGCTTATAAAAAGAAGGATATCTGCTTTAGCAGTCACACAGCAAAAAAAAAACAAACACTACTGAAATGTCTTTTTTGAAGCCATTTATAGCTCCATTATTCTCTTTATTCTTGCTGTCCTCTTTTTCCAGATCTCAAGCTTCTGTTCCTGCCTCCAACCAGTTCAAATTTGTCAATGATGGCGAATTCGGTCGTTACATAATAGAGTATGATGGAAATTATCGTGTACTTAATGTTTTCAACTCCCCATTCCAACTTTGTTTCTATAACACCACTCCTAATGCCTTTACCCTAGCTCTACGCATGGGCTTGACGAGTTCTGAGTCACTGTTCCGATGGGTATGGGAGGCTAACAGGGGAAACCCAGTTCGTGAAAATGGCACCCTTACGTTTGGGAGGGACGGAAACTTAGTCTTGGCCGATGCCGATGGCCGGATTGCATGGCAAACCGGCACCGCCAACAAAGGGGTCGTTGGGTTCAAGTTACTCTCTAATGGTAACATGGTCCTTTATGACTCCAATAATAAGTTCATATGGCAAAGCTTTGACTACCCGACTGACACTCTCTTGGTGGGCCAGTCTCTTAAGGCCAAGGGGCCCACTAAACTTATCAGCAGGGCTTCTGCTATTGATAATGATAATGGGCCTTATAGTTTGGTACTTGAGCCCAAATGGTTGGCATTGTATTACAAGAGCATGAACTCCCCCAAGCCCATGCTTTATTTTACATCTTCTGGGTTGTTTACTATCAGTCAAGGCAGTTTAGAGAGTGTGACATTTAACAGTGAACCAGATATTGGTGGTGCCTATAACTTATTATTTGACTACAGTGTGACCAGTCCTTCAAGCACTGGGAACCGCTATTTGGGTAGGGCCAAATACAATGCCACGTTATCGTTTCTCCGATTGGGGATTGACGGAAACATCAAGTTTTACACTTACAACGATAAGGTGGACATTGATGCATGGGAGGTGACGTATACCCTATTTGACAGAGACTCTAACAACGAAACCGAGTGCCAGTTGCCGGAAAGGTGCGGGAAATTTGGGCTTTGTGAGGACATCCAGTGTGTTGCATGCCCCAAGCCCAATGGGTTGCTAGGTTGTTGCAAAGATTGTGAGGCCGTGAAGGTGAGCTCAGGACACTTCTTTGTGTTGGATTGCTTATGACTTGAAGACCCTCACAAAAGTTGCCAATTCCACACATTTGGGCTACATAAAGGCACCCAAACTTTAATCAGGCTCAGTGGGCCTTGTTTTGTGGGTTTAGTGTTCGGAAATGAATAAAAAACGAAATAATTTCCTTTTTGTGAGAAACCAAGTTTCTACTTTTTGTGGAATTACCTATGTTATTGTGCAAATGTATTTTCATAGTTAATATGTGTATGTGCAAAATTTCTCTCTATATAAAAAATAAAAAGAAATAAAACAATTCACTAAAATAAAAGATAATAAGTCACAAGAACTATTCCGAGAGAAGCGTATATTGCTTGATTGATCTTTATTGGAGGTCTTGATCTCTATTTATACACAAATAATGTGGTAGAATTATGGTAAGACTCGCCTTACTTGTCCTTCAATTAATTCCATATACAATTCCTTACCAATTAAATTACTTTCTTTTACAGTTATCTCTATATCAAATTTCTTCCTCTTGTAGAACTTTCCTTTCGTGATGGATCCTTTGCTTAGTAGGAGTCATTCCTTCTTTAAACGAATTTGGGCCGAATGCAACCTGGTCCAAATGACTTTGTTAATGGGCCGGAGGTTCAACATTAGCGACTTGGGTTGTTGGTGTCTTTATCCAGGCTTGAATAGGGCTGGGCTTTTATTTTTAACCCACCAAGGGATTAAAAATAAGACTTATGTCGTGGCTACATTGCTGGCTTTCATTGGAGGGGAATTTTTCCCTCCATACTTTGCCCCCAATTCCCTTTTTAATTGGACTACGACTCTTAATTAGAAGGGAATTAAAGTTGTACGGTTGTCAATATCGTAAGAGACGGTTTCGAGGAGCGATTATTGATATTCTGACCAAAAGGCTTCTACACAACTTGCTTTTGGCTTCACGACGTTCATTGTGCTCACTATTTCAACGTGATTCCAGGTTAGTCCCTCATTCACTTGTCTGATTTCTTTCGCATCATGAATTTTTTGTTCACTCACGACCATATAGACCTCGTACATTATGATTCCACAACCTCTTCTTCCCCCACTCTCATTAGGGTTCCTCCTCTTAGGATTTCCAACCCTCTTAAATCTGCAAGCAATTTGGCCAGATGATTCCTTACCTCTAGCTGAGGTGTCCACCTCTGGGTCGAGTAGTATCTTCACTAAAGAGGTGAAAGACTTGATTCTGTCTATTCGACGTCATAATGTCACCATTGATTCTATAATAGAGGAATTTGAAATCCCCGAGGGGGTGGAAATTGTTGAATACCCAAGAACAGCTGATTTCAATTCAAGCGAGAGCGTCGGAGATAATGAATTGCTTATATCAATCGGGCACCTTAATGTTCTTCGCTTTCCTCTTCACCACTTCTATCATTTAGTCTTCAATGAGTTAAGTCTTACCCCTCTTCAGGTAAACCCTAACTTTCTTCGAATAGTCTCGGCTCTTCTTGTTCGTCGAAGACTAGAAAGTCTTGACTTGACTCTTGCGGACCTACTGATTACATACACCATTTCTAGGCATGGGACCGAGCCTGGCTGTTTTTATTTCACTTCCTCTCTTTAACAGAGGATATGTACGGACCTCCCTTCCTCCGAGAAAAAGTGGAAGGAGAGGATGATAATTGTTAGGGGGAACTAGTTTGTGTCTCAATCGAGCAAACTCCCAATTCCACGCAAATTTGGGAAGTTAGGTACCGAATGTTTTTCCTCCTTTCATGACAAATGCTCTGGTTGCTTCCCATGCCGAGTCTTTCTTTTTCGTCACACTTATGAATTTCATGGTGTTGTTTCAGCGACATTCCCCTCTTCAGCAGCTAAGAATAGGTTCTCCTTTCTTGAAGAACAGGTTTGGAGTTATCCCCAATCAATTGAGGAGTTGCTCACTTCGTCCAACCTTAAAAAGATCTCCTCCATGCTAACAAGGAACCTTGTATTCTTGTGACTTCTTCTTGGAAACAAATTTTCATCTCATTTTAAAAAAAGAAAGAAAAAGTTTCACTAATTATCCATAAAAAAGTTTTTTTTTGTTTTTTTGTTTTGGATACAGTGCAAAAATATTTGTTATATAAAAAGAGTAATGATACTTTGTCCGATCAAATTGGCCTACTCCTAGTCTGAATCATATTGCCAGATTCATCTTCTTCGTTCTGCTGCTCCGTTAATTCTTTATCTATGTAACTCACAATTCATCATTACAATTCTTAATAAACTTTTGAAGTTTTTTTTTTTCCTAATCAAATTCCCAAAACTGATACAATATATGGAAGCCAAAATATATATTGAAAATGAAATTAAAAAAAAATGAAAAAATACCTTCAATCTTATTAGGGTTTGTTTTTTCCTCTTTAAGCAAACATATATATGTATTTTCTTTTTTGATTTTTTGAACCAATAGAAACTTCTCAATACTTTGTTTTTTTGTCAATTTTGCTCGTGGAAAAGAGAGAACCGTGAGTTAAAGAAAGAAAGAATCAAGGAAGCAGCAGAACGAAATCATAGAAATAGAGATGAGTCGTCAAAACATTTTCAGCTTCTTTCCATATATTTATTTTTAATATCTTGTGCAAATAAAATATCAACGATTTAGGTAATTAGTAACAATTACACGTAGGATTCAGACTACGAGTAAGCCAATTTGATCGGATAAAGTATCATTACTTATATAAAAAATGTGCAAGAAATATCCATACTTTTAAAAAGTGTGTACATAAATCTTTGTATTTGAAAATTTTGTACCAAATTGCCCACGGTGGTCAATTTTAACCAATTATTTTTATAAAAATTCTAAAATACCCTTAAGGGAATTTCAAGTATTTCTTTTATTTCTTACAATATGGATGTGGACATTGGTGCATGGGAGTATACATACACCCTATTTGGCGGGGACTCCTCCAACTACGAAAGCGGGTGCCAGTTGCCGGGGCGATGTGGGAGATTTGGGGTGTGTGAGAACAACCAATGTGTTGCATGCCCCAAACCCAATGGCAATGGGTTGTTGGGTTGGAGCAAGAACTGTAAGCCCACAATGGGCACCTCGTGTAGGGTGAGAAATTTTGACTATTACAAAGTAGTAGGGGTGGATCATTTCATGAGCAAGTACACAAAAGGTGAAGGGCCCGTGAAGGAGAATGATTGCGGTCAGAAATGCACAAAGGATTGCAAGTGTGTGGGCTATTTCTATCACCAAGACACTTCTTGTGTTGGATTGCTTATGCCTTGAAGACCCTTACTAAAGTCAACAATTCCGCACATCTGGGCTACATAAAGACACCCAAACACTAATCATGCAGGCCCAGTGGGCCTACTTTGGTGGGGTCCAGTTTGCGGAAGTGAATAAAAGAAAATAATTTTCCTTTGCATGCCGCAGGAACGCTTGTTTCTACTTTTAATAATTTCGTTTTCGTGACCAAGCCTCTTGCTTCTTATTGTGTAAGTATATTACACTATGTTTCAAATTTGTGTTCAAGGCTTGGTAATTTCCATTTTCGTGAGAAAAGCTTGTTTCTATTTTTTTGTGGAATGGAATTTTTTTTACCAGAATTGAGTCTTAACGTGAAAAAGCTACTGTTATGCTGCAAATAAACTAAAAGTTTAGTGTTGGAAAAAATACACTTCCTCTGGTTGGTGCAATATCCCGAAAAAGTAGGAAAATTCTAGATTAATGATGCAAAGACACGTAACTGTAACTATATGCATGACTTAAGTTATACAATCATTCTCAACAAGTGTAACCCTCGCGCTTTCGCTCTTTCACTCTGCGTGCACTCTTGTTCCAATTCACCCTGTTTTTGACTTAATTCAGCCGCTTTTACTTTCGAATTCAATTTCATTCCCGCTCCCGTTTTATGTGACTTAGTGCATGACCTCAAATTATACTATTCAATTTTTAAGAGTATGAAATGTGCTGGGATTTGGTGTGATTTTTTGCTAAGGACTCCCCTGCAGTACACTGTACACACACGTGTATACTCTGATACGTATATGCAATGGAGATAATTAGTGACAAGGACAAGATTCGGTAAGTACCAATTCTATTGCATAGTTTGCAATCGTAATATGAGTTGCGGTATTGTTCGCAATCACGATGTAATATATTCAAACGGATATAAATGTAAATCGATTAAATTAATCGTTCATAAAAGTATAATAATATCGAATCCTTAAAAAGAGTTACGAATACTAATATGATAAATTATAAATCCATCCGAGTGGTTTCAATGGCCAATCTTTTCTTGTTTTAAGCAGAAAATAGAGCGGGTCGCCAACTAGCCAATCATTAGGCTTTTCTTTGGTGGTGGCCCTAAAATGAATTCGTGTTGCATATCTCTGTGAAAGCTTTACACTAGGAAAAGCTCACAAGTGTAATCACTAACAATGGTTTTTCATTATTTATTTATTATTTTTTTTTTTTCCAGAGCAAAAATGTATTGCTGTCTAAAAAAAATATCTAGTCAGAATTTTCCAAAAGGAGCATTTTTTATGTTTTTTTGGCACAAGGGAGGAATCTATTACAGCTTTTGCTGCATCGAATTCTAACTTTTAAAACAAATAGCAATTGACGTATTAATGTCCCATCCATTCAGTGAAGGAGCAACAAAGTTTGAATTTCTTTTCTTTTGTGTTTATTTTTCAGTTAATTATAGGGGAAAAAAAAAATTTCTGAAACAAAGAAAGGAGTTTTGATTTGTTCCGTGATTCATTAAGCAAATAATTCAAGTATTTTGCCTAAGACTAACTCTCTCCACACCACCAATGTAACACGATGATAAAATAAAATTATTTTATTTTATATTTTATTAAATACGAGGATGAGAAAATTGAGATTTCTTTTATCATTAATTTTTATAGATTTTAAATTTTAAAAATTATGTTCATTGTATCATATCAATGGTGCGAGAAAAATTATTTTTCAGGATGAGGAAAATTATTCCCCATTCCTGGGAATATTTGTTCTTTTTCTCTATTGTATGTATGAACCAATATTAGTTGTCATTGAATGAGATAATTTAAACTAAAGAAATTCTAAATTTAAGAGTAAATTTTGTTTTATAATTAAATATTGGATATGATTTTAATTTAATAACTACGAACATATTTGCAGGTGATTGACCCGATCCGTTCACTACTTCTTTTTTGTTTGTTTTTTTAAACTCAAGTGTGTGCATAC